GCCCTGTTTATATTATATACGACTAGTCGAGTGTCATTTATAAGCATAATTAACCAAGACTTTTGCCTGAGGCCCGAGCCTTTAGGGGCCTCACATATTCAATATCCAAGATATCTTGTACACGTGTCTAATACAGATTTCATATTATATAAACTTATATATAAAGAGATCACGAGTGTTTACCCTGGCCTAGGGCCTCTCAGGCCCGTTTATTTGAAAGATACGTGATAATATCACTTCTGAATATCTTTTAAAGGTGAGAAAATATAAAAAAAACTGTTATATTATGTAAAAATAATCTTCAAATTACATTTAGATATAGTAAAACCTGTATAAACCGGAATCTCACGGTACCTTTTAGGCAGGTTTTTTTATTATTATTCAGGTTCCTGTTTGGACAGGTTTTACTGTATTTGATTCTTACGTAAGTAACTTAAAAAATAAGCATGCTGTGAAAATATCTTTGAGTATTATTATGTAGAGAATAGGAACTAAAATAAGAATTTTAGAAAAGAAAGATGTATCTGGAACGGCATTCTTTAAAGAATTCTCGAGAGTTAGTGTCTTAATTCTGTATTTTAAATAATATTTATTTATTAGAATTATTTTAATTAGTATTATTAAGGTCTATACAAAATTATTGACGAGGATAAGCGAGCGTGGGAAGTAGAATAAGAAGTTTGGAAAAAAAGAAGATGCTGGAGCAACATCACTTAAAGAATTCTTTTACGTTTGTTCTCCGGTAAATATTATTTAAAATACAGAATTTAAATTCATTATTCTGTATTCTGTATAATGTAGAATTTTATTAAAATTATTTTTAGTAGAATTATTAAGACTCATACAAAATTTCTGGTGAGGTTAAGCCGAGTGTTAGAACTAAAAGATTTTGGAAAAGGAAGATGCACGTGTAGAATAATTATTTAAAGAATTCTCATATGTTATGACTTAAAATATATATTATTTTTAATACAGAATTATTAAGTTATTTTAATTAGAATTATTAAGATTCTTAGAAAATTACTGATGAGGATAAGCCAGCGTGGAAAGTACATAAGGATTTTGGAAAAGGAAGATGCTGGAGCAACATCATTTAAAGAATTCTTCTAAGTTTCTTCTCTAGTAAATATTATTTAAAATACAGAATTTAAATTCATCATTCTTCATTCTATACGATAAAGAATTTTACTAAAAATACTTTAATTAGAAATATTAGAAAGAACCGTACATAATTAGGCTCTACTGATGAGAACAAGCGAGTGTTAGAACTAAAATAGCAATGTTAGAAAAGAAAGAAGCACTAGAACAATATATATTTTAAGGAATTCTTCAAATTTTTCTTTTAAATAAGTATATATTTTTTTATTTTTTAAACGAAATAATTAGTGAATTTACGACACTCACTACCTATTTCGATAATTATCACGCACAATTATCTTCAAGGTCGTTGGAATAAACAATTTGGAAAAACAAGATAAAATTAGCAAAAGTAAAGGACGAAATAACACAATCCAGATATTTCTAAATATTTCAGGATAATTATTTATTTATTTTTACTTCTATATCTTTATGTAGGGCAACGATATAACCCGTTTAGTTAAGTGTAACAACGTAGAATGTTATGATTACGGATATGTTAAGATTAACCATTCTTTCTTCTCTATCGTCCAATGGGTATCCTTAATACTGCGCCTGCTCTACCGACGTTTATAAGTAGAAGCTGAGAATGTCGAGGTGGAGAAGAGCTGTCAGCACATACACGAAGAGCAACCCCCAATCGATCTTGTTATTATGGAACGAACAATGCAAATCATCATGTTAGCTATATTAAGCAATCTCATACCCATACCTGCATCAAGGTGAGCTTCCACTTAAAAATTTTATTTAAAATACTAATTAAAATTAACTTTAATTANAAAAAAACAAACTGTAAGAAATTATGTGCGACTAATCATTGAATAAAAATCTCAATTTATCTTGAAATATTAAAAGATTTAAATTTTCTTAAATAATAAAATCCAATGATTTATGAGAAATTTCCGGAAGAAGAAAATTCAGATCAAAGCTGTATATTAAAAATATGAATTGATAGTCATTATTTTCATTGGAAAAACTTGATTATATTTATTATCCTATTTATCAATTTCTTATCCAGTAATTTATCTTTAAATAAGAATTTAAATATTTATTTATTTATTTTTATTAATAAAATTTCTATATAATTAAAGCTTGTATAATCCTGTATTTATTCTAGCCTTTTATTGTCGCCATTTTTGTACAATTATTCTTGACAGTTATTTTGTTTATTTGCGTACGTCACTAGCAGAAACAAATGTTTGAACAATGAAAAAACTTTGTATAAAATTCTTGCTGCCTTTGTTTAATTTCTCTCTGTACAATTACATTCTATTCTTTAGATTACGTAATAAGACATTCTCCTATTGTTTATAGTCTAATTTAACTTTTGTATTGTAAATTATATTCTAATTACGATCATTATTGAAATAACACATACATATATATATACTCATACACAAAGAATATAATCGATATTATGAAAATCTCCTTCTATCTGTGGTTTCTATGTAAAAAAAAGGTCTCCAAAATTTAATATTTTTGCAAAAAATGTATTATATAAAAGGTATATATTCCTTAAATTTAACTTTTGTTTGAAGAGTGACGAAAATTTACTTTTATTTATACATTTTTGTGGCTTCTAGAAAAGGGATGAGATTCCATCTCACTTCTTTTCACTCCTGCTTAGATAACGAAGTTTTTTAGTTTAAAAATAATACTATAAAATATTAAATTCGTAATTTTAAAAAGTAAAACATAAAATGATTTATTTATGTATTAATTTCCTAACTTAACTGCAAGTGGTTGAGTGGGTAAAACCATCGAACACTGGTTTTATCCACTCAACCATTAGTTTTGTGCCTAAACAATAGACTGGTCACGTGGAATTTTTCGGATTTCTTCACACTTAACACCTAAATAAGGACCAATTTCTCTTAAAAAATCCTCCCCCTTGGTAGTCTATGCATTACATTTCTATTTCCTATCAAACTACCAAATCTAATCCGATATAAACGATATAAACTATAGGCATGTTAATGCATTATTTTATAAAATAAAAACTGATAAATACATTTTTATTTATTATTAAAAGTTTAAACTCGAGTATAATTAACTTACGAATGTTAAACGTTCATTAAGTAATGCTTTTATTTCGTTAGAAACTGTGAATACCGATATTGAATTGAGCCCACTATTAACGGACTGAATAAAATCATTGAACACTGGTAGTTAGTTAGTCGTGGGTTCACGCCACGTGAAGTTTTCCGGGATTTTTTTACGTTTGTAACAATTGCAACACTATGAAAAATATATAGTCATTATGATGTTGCCATCAGTGTAAGGGGGGATCTTCCCGGGAGGCATCCCCATCCTCTCACGTATCACGTTGGCGTAAACAAATAAACCAAACCAATATTGAATTGATGAACTGATTGATTAAATTTAACACGAGGAGAGTATAATTAACTATAAATATATATATAAGCTCAATCTGAACATTACTATAAAATATTAAATCTTACAGTAAATTAAATTAATAGTAAATTTTCACTTATTTCTCTGTGTAGAAACTGCCTTTATATCCGAGATGATATTGATGAATGCTCCAGATGTATCAGTTTCAATTTAACACCGTATTGAACTTTTAATGGCTCAAACAATTCTCGAGATAAGATAAAATGGATTTAATAGTAAACAATGATTTGTGCGAAAGTATAATTGCTCACCCAGAAGAAGAAGTAAGAGAGATATCGATGAATCCCACTGATTTAAACTCCAACACTTCTTTCATTTTTCTTTCTTCTTTGTATTGACTGAAGATCTCAGATAGTATTTCAGATAATTAGTTTTAAGATCACTTAAAAATTTATCAGTAAATCAAATAATTTTTCACAAAAGAATCCTGGCAAATAGTTTTATTGTGGAATGATTGTATGATAAGGCAACGCAACACCTAGGCTATCTGCTAAGGGAGGAATTTATATGGAAAATTGCCACCTGATTTAAATGGTAGGCAGGTGAAGAAAACCCGAGAAATCTCCACGCCTATTGTGGCTGTTTTATCCACTCGCCCACTCTGGTTTCATAGTGTGGTTTTATTTAATGGAATACAGCACGCAACACAACGGTAATCTATCGGTACTCAGTAAGACTTTTACAGAAAACTAATCTGTAGGATCCAATTTAAATATTAAACACTCGAAGAAAACCCGGAAAACTCCACGTGGCTAGCAATTTGTGAGGCAAGAACCCCAACCTAGGAACTAGGGGCATAGGGTAATGGGTTCGTGCCTCACATTACAAAAGGATCTCTACAAGAAATCGTTCTATTTCATTAAATATATTTAAAAAATAATTTAATTAATGAATTTATAGAAAGTATAAAAGATTTAAATTAAATTTATTATTTAAATATAATTATATACCATTTTTTTGTTTTTTAGTCATTGAGTGAGGTGCATTTAGTAATAAAGAAATCATTACACGAGCGCATTAAATGTATAAAAATTGCATTAAATTTCATGTTATTTACAGAAATTTAAAAGGTTTTTTTCTTCTCATTTTTATAATATTGTTATTCAAATTTATTTAATTTGCATAGCAGCTGTCACTTCATCCATAAATATCTGAAGTAATAGTGAAAGCATATCTTTATGACAGGAAGTTTTTATGAAATATTTTAAAAATTTCCTACTTTCTCTTGGGAATAATGACTTCCTAGTTCATTTTTCTCACATTTTTCTACAAAAGTTCATTCAGTAAATATGCAATTCATGCACATTTTTCATTATTGATGAAAGTTTTATTACATTTTATCAATTTATCTCAATATCTGGGATACATTTTTATGATTATTAAAAACATAAATATTTATACTAAAAACATTTAATTTATTTCTTAAATATTATCAAATTTTTTATGTATTTTTAACTACTTTTTTAACATTCAAATGGCATTAAAATTGTATAGAAGCGCACGCGTACGTCGCGTCGCATCGCGTTGCGCGTAGAAGGTCATATTGGTCCTACCAACTACAGTTATAATGCTATTATAACTATAGTAACACTATATATATAATACTACTGTATATTATACTATAATACTATAGATATAAAATACTACGATAATACTATAGATATAATACACGTACTACAAATGTAATATTACACTAGTATAATACTCTAATACACTATTACAGGGGGCCTCATTTTTACATATATTATTATTTGATGAAGGGGGAAAACATTTTATATTTACTCAAGATCATAACAAGTTTAAGTCTGGCCCGGATTATATTATTTTATCTATGGCTACAGTATTATATTAATCGTGACGCACCGCTATCGTAAGCGACGCGACGCGCCTAACGCCGCGATCTACTGTAGCTTATATCTTTAACTGATTGCCTTCATTATTAGCATTTATACTTAAACGAATGTAGGAATTTTAATTATAGAAAAGAATTTCAAGAATTTCTATAAATGACAAAATAAAATTTTAAAAAATATAATAAAATAATAGTTCAAGTAGAAGTAAATTGCAAATTAAATCATTTAAAATCTATTAGATTTAGATTTCGATATATCTATGAATTGTAATTAAATTTAAAAGTTAATTGGAAAATTTCAAGTAATTATAATTAAAGAACTCTTATATAAAAATTGAATTAAATTAAAATTTTAATTACCTTAAACAGAGAGAAATTCATTAGGTAAATGGAGTATTAAGCTTTAAAAAATATTCCAGTAAGTTATATGACGTAAAAAAAAGGGCCTTAGAGAAACCAACCAATCACAAATCTAGGGCCTTACATCTTATTTGTAAGCCATTAAACGTATGTGAATAAAATTAATAAAGAAAACAAATACAGTCGACCCCCCTATAACACTGTTGATATTTCCGTTTTATATGAATTCCATGTTGTACGAGTCACTTAGATTTTACAAATACGTGTGCCGAGCTGTGAACGGCTCACGTATTTGTAAAATCTAAGTGACTCGTACAACATGGAATTCATATAAAACGGAAAAATCAACAGTGTTACAGGGAGGTCGACTGTACACAGCTTATCAGATAATACTTTTAATGGAACGAAATGAGCATAAGAATGCCTTTACACAGGTCATTATGCATATATATTGGCTTAACGATTAGCAACACTGGTTCATATCATATTTATGCATTAAGAAAGTCTAAATTTTGGGGCCTCCTAAGACCGAGGCCTCAATAAAATGGTTCCCTTTACCGAGCCCTTTATGCAGAGTTTTAAACGATTAAATTATATAAAAACTGCGTTATTTATATATAAAACATAGATAATCTTTAAGGTGTTTGTAGAATAAAAAATATTTCTTTTAAAGTATTAAAGTTTAAATCATATAAATACTTCTGACAGCCATAACAGTTTAAAGGTAACAGTTACAAACCGCAATAAAGAAAACACTTAACCACACTCAAAGAACATTGTCAAGTTGTAAACTTTATAAAACGATAGTTGTTAAAAAACATATATCTTTACAGTTTTATTCAATTTAAAACAGAAAAAATATATATATTTATATATCTAAGTACAATAGAAAAGTTTAAAGTTTTAACGTAAAAGAAATCTTATTATATAAAAGAAAGGGTTTTAAAAAGATGTAAAATAAATATTCTGAATAAATGAATATAAAATAAATTGTTGCTAACGTATGCTAAAATAGTTTTTTTTTTTGTTTGATTAAAGAAAGTTTACAATTAAAAAATGTAGTAAAAGGTACTGTTTATTAGTAGAATTTAGCCA